CAAGGTTCGCTATCCAGGCTTGCACTACTGTCAAAAGTGGCACAGATGCAGCAGCTCGAGCACAGATCTCGGGTACCAGAGGAGTTCGGAGCAGCCCTGCAGGTCCACGGGCCACTGCGGGGCCTAAGGGGTGTTTGCATTCTCCCTCTCGTCTGTCCCTGAGACTGGGGAGGTGGCCACTCCCACCCATGCACCGCACAACACGCCCAGCCATGCCAGCGATCCACTATGATCGCTGCCACACAGGGGCGCTGCGGACATCTTCGCCGCCAGGGCGGCACCAGCCGCCCCGACGATCCACCAGGATCGGAAGTCACCGCCTGCGGTCAGCGTCGGCGAAGACATCGACTATGACCCCGACACCGACAGCCACCCCACCCCCTGAAGAGCATCGGCGCCAGCGACGATTCGGAGGCCGCTCAACAGGCCGCTGCAGAGACGGAGCGGCGCGCTGGCGACGGTGCGCCCGTACGCGAATACGTGTTTGCGCGCGCGGTCGTTCCCGCCGCCGACGACGACCACAACGACGACGACGGTAGCGATGGCCGCCGCCGCCCCGTTCGACCCCGTCCGTGACCTTGCCGCCGCCGCTGTGAGTGCCATCGCTCTGCCCCCCAGTACATAAGAGGAGTTCTGCAGTTTTCACAGTGGGTATCTTTGTTAGCCCCTTCTTGGCGCGATCTCTGAACCCCCTCTGGCACGGCGTAGCGCACGATGGGCCCGACAGCGGCTGCGTCCAGAACCTGGGCCAGCTCCGCCGTTACAGTTTCCAGGCCAGAAAACGGGCCCTTGTTCCACCAACGTCGATGCCAACTGCAACGTCCTTACCACATTCCAAGAACACGACGGCGCTAAACTAATCGCCCGGATTAAAATCGACACCCCGTTGACCGTTTCCACACCTTGGATTGGAATGTCCGCGCACCAGAGGACAGGCGTTTAGCGTTCAGTCTGGGGACGCATCCCTGGGGACGGTTACATGTGCCGTGAAGGCCGCGGGGGGGAATGCTTCAAATAGTCTTTTCAACTGCTGCCACACATGGTGGCGTCTACCTCGCGATGGACGGGAACCATCTTCCCTATCTGTGCGGCGGACCCCGCCACCAGACAGAGTGCAGCTGCGCGTCGGAACAACACCACCCATTGCATACACGTGGCATCCGTCATTGTTAATCGGGTCCCGACAGGGACGCGGCAAACAGAACCGGCGACGCGTTACGTTTAAGCGCGTCTACGCCCACCGCGACACACACGATTCCGCTTTCCTGTCACACATGCTCGCATTCGGGTGGACAAACGTCGCAGCTGGGCACCCAGACGAAAGATCTTGCACACACGGACAATATCTTCACTGGGACCGTATATTATTTGGGACGGGCAGGGCGCTCATCGACTACGTTTTCGGCGACAGCTGGGGGAGACAACTTGTCGCCAAGTTTGTCCTGCCCCGTGATCTCCGCATCGAATCGACATCGCGGGCTCCTTGCGCCGCTTGATCCCGACGTTGCAAGTCGTCCAGCGAGGGGCGCTCGCTCGCTTGACGAGCAAGAATCGTCTGGAGACCGCCTCGAATATTCCTGCCGCGCTTGGAGGGGCGAGGCTGACGCAGCCAGCCACGTGTGGCAAGTTGTTTGACGTCGCCAACCAGGTGGCAAACGCTTCCCACCCAGCCCCGCCAAAGAAGCCTCCCCCTCTGGCTCGGCCGCGCACAGCGCCGGCGGCCACCTGCAAGGCCGTTCCTTCTCCGCCCACGACATTAAACTGTCGCTTTGCATCTGGGCCCAGGGCAGCACCCGTGCGCGCCGCGATCCCTATGCTCAACGCGCGTCGACGACAGCGGCGCTGCCGCGCACGCTGCCAGGGAGCTCCAAGGGCCACTTGACAAGACGGTCCTCGTCAACCGCCCCTCGGGGGAAAACGGCCGCCCCGGCCCAGTTGAGGGTTGGGCTAGCGGCGAAAAGCTCCACCGCCAGGTGGCGGCTCTCCATCTACACGGGCACCCGCTGCAACCTCGTCACCAGGCGAAGCTTGCAGGAAGCTTCATCAACGTGGCATCTGTCGCGAATGATGTAAATTTGAATCTGGCGCCCACCGCAGATGCTTGGAACCGACGTGCTATCGCTGGACTCCCACGTATAGGGCGCTTCCCGAGGGCACCGATGCTCGCGCCCGCTCGCTCAGGCCCCGCGCTGCCTGCCAAGCCCCCAGCTCGGGGGCGCGCAACCTTCGCGACATTTTGACGTTCGTTGCCATTCGGCCCAATGGCCGATCCTGGATCTTACAGCGGGCCTTCTACCCTCTCGCTGTAACTGGGAGCGCCTTCCGAGATGTGCGCTGGGATGCCTCTCTCGGGCTGCTGGCGCGCTTTCATGGAGGTGGCCATGTTGGCAGAGTCTGGCAAGTCGTTTGCTCTTTGACGTGGAGTTGGTCATCCTTGTGTTGGCGCGATGCTTGACGACTGGGGCACCCGTCTTGCATGGTGACATCTTTCAGTCGGCCTGTTCACCTACGCGCTCCGAGAGTCGCGAGGAAGGCTCTGCCTCCGAAGCATTCCTGCCCCTAGACGCGACTTGCGCGCTGTCGCTGCGCCGCGGTCAAACGAGGCCGTGGCCGCGTTCTGGCGCCCGATTGCAAACAAACAGGGGCAAAACTAATGCATTGCCTGGCAGCTCGGCCCCCTCTGCGACTACCTCTTCGGCGGCGACCACGCCCGGCAGAGGGGCGTCTGCGCGGGCATCTCGGTCGACCCATTCCCGCCGCGCAGAAGGCGCAACCAAGACGAAGAAATGCAGGCACGCGCGGCCCGAGAATGCCCATGTTTTGGGGGCGGGAAGGACCGCCTTGAAAACTATGATCATTGATCAACACTGGAAAGACCCCCTGCCTCGCACGGGGCATTGCAGGCAGCTTGAGGAAGACCCGCAGCTGCAGGACTGTTGCGCCCGACGAGCCCCCGCAGTCTATTCCGGGACCCCCTCCCGAGGGCACCGGAGAGGGCTTGTTCGAGGAAGACGCAGACGACAGCACGGGGGGCAGGTGGGTCCACCCGGCCACTGACGGAGCCTACGAGCACCAGGCCCACGCGCTCCTTGCAAGGGCTGGCTTTGGAGTTCACTGCGGGCCTGGCCAGCGTTGAAACCGCCCACCTCGGGCGCGCGGCTTAGCCCAGTCTGCGCGAGGCGCTGAGACCACGGATTTGAGGCCACTCGCGCAGGAAGGCCACCGCGAGTGACGGGGGCTCGGCCGGTCTCTGGCAACAAATCCATGAAGCGTTGCAAACAAATTTGACGCGCTCAAGGGCCACGCATTCGAGAGGCATCCCAGCCAACACGGCATGAATGAAGGCCGAATCACGCCAAACGCAGAGTTGTTTGACCGCCGCGCCGATGAACCCGCCGCTGCCGGAGCACGTCTGCACCCCTAGCAGCAAGACGTCATCGACGACGGTGCCAGGTGGCGGGACAAAGACGCAGCGGTTCTCCACAGCATTGCTGTCGCGATCTATGACCGTCGCACTGTCGTCGCCTTCGCCAGACAGACGCGCGCGTGACTTCAGGGCTGCGTTCAGCAAGATAAGTTCGCCCAGCTCATTGCAGGACAGGGAAGTCACGAGCCATCATGCTCACCTGGCGACCCCTCGCACACGCAAGGCCCGCCAGGCTGCGCTTATTCCGCGATCTCGACCACCCATGGGGAGCCCCATCCGACGACGTCCCAGGAGGAGACGAAGACCCCCTGGGGCTAGGTGCGGCCTTGAACAACGATAGCAAAACCATTTAGGGCGTCACGATAGCGACGGCCACGACGCCGACGACGAAAGGCACTCGGGCACGGTGTCGGAAGGGGCGGAAGTTCACCAGGACGCCGCCTCCACGGCCACGCCGCCTAGCCACCAGGTCGCCTCCACCCCCCACCGGTGCACGGAGACTGGCGGCCGCCATACCGCCCAAGACGGAATAGGCACCAGTGGAACACCAATGCAGTGAACGGATCGCAGGCACGCCGTCGCGCAACACCTAGGGGCTGCCAGGGAACAGCCACATCGGGAACGCGAAACGGATCCCATCGCTGGCATCACGGCGTTGCAGGGGCGCGTCGCTAACTTTGCGCAGGCCCTTTGCAGCATCCAGGAGGAGTCCAGCCCTCGTCCGGTCAGACTCCACGAGCTCGCCCGCCTGGAACGACCCGCAACAGGCCTGCCGTCCGACCGCATGTCTCGGCGCAGCCCTCCACAGGGGCTCCTTGGCTCACCTCGATGGCATGTGTCCCGCGGCCTTTTCGATGTGCCACTGTGGGGGATGCCCCACGGTGGCGCCACGGTTCACTGACGGTCCGAGGTGGGCATGCCAAAGCGCGCTTGAAGCCGGCGCCGTATGGTCGGGTGTGCAGACGGAGCGTTCCATGCTCCGATCGCCTCAGACCCGTTTCCCCGACAGTCCGCACCAAGAGGGTGTTGTTCCCCATTCCGATGTGTTTTACGGCACCTCCCGCCAGTGTTGGGTAGGCCCTGAACGGCAGTCAAGCCCTGTTAGGCGTGGACTACTTGCAGTCCGAATTGTTCCGCCCTCCTTTAATCTCCCACTCCAAGTATTCCCACCTCCCTCGTAGTTTGTTTCTCGCCCTTCTTTCCCAATGTATATTTCCTCCCAGGCTTATCCCTCCTCCCCGCCCCATTACCCCCCTCCTTGTCCCCCGCTTTGAAGCCAGACGGGTCAGACGTAAGATCGCGCCTCTCACAGCGCGGAGCTCAAAGATTTTCCAGCTCGCGGGGAAGACGTTGATGTCACGCTGGTTGACCAGGAGGGGAAGATGGAGTGATGGGCGAGGGGGGAAGAGGAATGGAGGAAGAGGTGGGGGAGAAGGCGGGGAGGGGGAGGAGGCATGGAGAGGGCAGGAGGCCGTGCGGGGGGTGGAGGCAGAGGAAGGAGCAGCAGCAGCAGACGGAGCATGCTCGGGAGGAGGGGAGCATGTGGGCGGCATGGGCACGGAGTTTCCGCCAGGCAGCTCCACATGGCCTTCAACAGCGTAGGCCTGCCCTGCCAGCCCCAGCTGCCCGTGTGCAAGTGTCGTTTGGATTTGGCTTGACTCTCGGCACAGGGTTTCCCAGGCCGGACTGCGTGGCGCTCTTGGCTGCTGATCACGAGTCGACGGGCGGTGGCGGCTTTACAGGGCCGACTCCTCCTGCAGTGTGCAGTCCCCCGTGCGAGGCCCAGACGGCGCCGATGCATTTGCCAACGCGTTGGACAACAATCGGTGCCTCCAGGTGTGCCCGCCCCCCCTCGCTTTGCTGCATTTGCTCACGTCCGTGCTGCCCGATGACGACATGTCTTCGTCTGATCAGCTGTACGGCCTGTCGAGACTTCGCCGCCGGATTCAGCAGACAGGGTTACCACCATACTCGCGCTGTGCCTCATCTGACGGACGAACAGCACACACCCATACCCACAGGGGGGTCGTTGGGAGGAGGACTGGCTAGTGGTGTGGGTCCGGGTTGTCGGACCCTGGGGAACGCTCCCGTTCGCGAAGGGACCCCCATCCGACAACACGCGCCCATAGCCCTCTCCGACCCCTCTATGGGTATGGGTGTGTGTTGTTGGTTCGTCATCATCGTGTGTTGTGCGCGCACCGCTCTGCCCTCGCACTCCTCCTGTTCCGTTTGACCTGCAGTGTGGCCACAGCCCGGCTCTCGGAGTTGATAGACCTCCCAGCTTGACACGTCGATTGGCGAATTGGCCGTTTTCGGTTTGCGAGAGTGCGTCGCGGCCGTCATTTGTTGCGGGTCCAGGTCCGTCGGTTTCGATCCTAGGCCGTTTTCATTCAAGGGTGGTTTGCTAAAGGGAGGTCTGTAAACCGCCGAACTTGGCACCCAGAAGTCTCGCATTTTACAACCAACATCTGGTGGCCACAGTACCTGGGTTGTGGGTCTCTTAAGGTTTCCCACAGTGCCAGGGGCACAGTGGCCACAGTGCCATAGCGACTCGGCCGCAGTGCATGTGCTTGGGCTGTGGCCACTGAGTCCGGGCCACAGTGCCTAGCCTCCCGGAAGCCTCGTAGGATCTCTTGGGGGGCCTCATGGGGACCTGTTCGCGTCCCTTGAGGGCCTCTTCCCCTTCTCGGGCCCTTGGGATCTGTCTTGGGGACCTGTGGGCTTTTTGCCTCGATGGCTGTCTTTGGGCGGTCTCGGGGGCCTCTGGAGCAGTCGCAGACATTCACCGAGACAGCAACAAGCAGGGAACGTCAAAACATACACGAACCGAATACTTTTCAATCATGTCGATGTTTCGGGCTGGCTCCCAGGGCGTCCAAGACTGCCCAAGAGGCGCCCAAGACGGCTTTAGGATTGGCCGTGAGACAAGCTTAGGCCATGCTGGGAGTGTGGTCCCGAGGTCTTTCCAAAGTCCCCAGGGGATTCCCGACAGCGCCCAGAAGCGTCTGGGAAGGCCTGGGCCCCAAAATTGAACACGGGGAGTTCGAAAGGTTGTGGTGCCAAGCAGTTTCCAGGGCGGACGTGCATGGGCTCATGTCCAGACTCGTTTCTCGCATGCGTGGTTTGACGGGCACTCGATTCGAATAGACACGGGCATCGCGAAGCAGCAGCTGCGACGTCGTGATCCATCCGGGGTTGGGGGGGCGAGCGCGCTCGGCGCTCACGTCTGCACCATCGCGTGCCGAGGTTCGTCGGAGACCCTCCGATGTCGACAGGTGAGAGGCTGTGCTCAAGTGGCCCCCGGAGGCGCGCCGTGCGGTTCGGGAGGGCTGCGCACTTGGAAGTCCGAGTGCTCAATCATAAGAGTCCACCTCTTCTCAAGGTGCTCGACATCCGCGACAACGAGGTGGCCGCGCGGGGAAGGGGTTGGAGAAGTAAGAGGAAGTACAGGTGGCACAGCATAGGTGGTGAAGAGAATTAAGGAGGGGGAGGAGGGTAAGGACGACGACGACGAACAGTGGGAGGGGAGAGGAGGGCCTCGGGAGAACGAACATGAGACATGCAGTTGCATTTCACTGCAACGCTGCCAGTACGTCTGTGGAGCATCGATGCTGGTTGGTACTTCGATCTCGCTCCTCACAGGTATCCTTTCGTATCGCTCGGTGGCCGCACCGGATCTTCAATGTTGCATTGCTGCTGCTGGTTCGATGGCATGCTGGATGCAGCACAATGCCCCTCACGTCTGCCAGACGGTCATAGAGCT